CGGCCACCACTGAAGCAACTGAAGTGGGGAAAGAACAACTATCTGAAGACCACCCTGTCCCTTCAATGCCTGTTCCATTGGACATGCATGTGAAGAATGATACTAGGATAGTTGTGATCTCCGGACCTAACACTGGAGGCAAAACTGCTACTATGAAGACGTTGGGATTGGCCTCTCTAATGTCAAAAGCTGGAATGTTCTTCCCGGCCAAAGGAAGGCCTAGGCTTCCATGGTTTGATCAGGTTCTTGCAGACATTGGTGACCACCAGGTAGTCTCTGTCTTTTGAAGAGAGTTTCTCTAATCACTTGCGGGACAAATATGCTTATTGATGCAAACTGTTTTCTGGATTGAAGTCTCTGGAGAATAGCCTCTCTACCTTCAGCGGGAACATATCACGTCTTCGCAAGATTGCGCAGGTTGTATCAACAGATTCTCTTGTTCTTATTGATGAGATTGGCAGCGGTACTGACCCATCAGAAGGTGTATCCCTTTCAACTAGCATTTTGAAGTATCTTGCTAGTAGACTAAACTTGGCTGTCGTGACAACCCATTATGCTGATCTAAGCCGTCTTAAAGCTGTTGATGATCGATTTGAGAATGCTGCAATGGAATTTTGTTTGGAAACCCTGAAACCAACATATCGAGTATTATGGGGAAGTACCGGTAATTCAAATGCATTGAGCATTGCAAAGTCAATTGGCTTTGATCAGAAAGTACTTGATCGTGCACAAGAATGGGTTGAGAAACTATTGCCTGACAAACAGAAGGAACGCCAAGGTTTACTTTACGGCTCCCTGCTGGACGAAAGAAACCTTCTGGAGTCCCAGGCAAATGAAGTAGCATCTGTTCTTTCAGAAGTTGAGGATCTTTACAATGAGGTACATCTCTTTATTGTTATTATCTGTTTTGACATTTCCACAGTAGTGATTCTCATACTTTCAGTTGAAACCTCACTTGATAATAATTTGATTTTGAAGATTCGCTTAGAAGCTGATGAGCTAGATAACCGAGTAGCTGCTTTGAAGGCAAGAGAGTCTCAAAAGGTGCAACAAGAGTTGAAGTCTGTAAAGTCTCAGATGGACCTTCTAATCAAGAACTTCGAAGTTCAACTAAAGAATTCAAAACTTGAACAGTACAACTCAATAATGAGGAAAGCAGAATCTGCGACCGCCTCATTGGCTGCTGCTCATCAGCCAACTGAGTTTGCTGTCAGCGACGATGAGAACAAAAGTTTGTATGTTCCTCAAATTGGAGACAAAGTGTATGTGGAAGGACTGGGAGGCGGGAGTATGGCCACTGTTGTTGAGATACTCAGTGAAGATGGGAGCTGTATGGTTCAGTATGGAAAAATAAAGGTCCGGGCCAAGAATAACAAGATGAAGTTGGCCCAGAGAGACACGAAGGAAACATCGGCTTCTTCCTCGGCACAAGGAAAGGTGCGCTTTACATCTGCTCTATAATAGATTATCCAGCTGCATTTATTTTGGTTTTACTCATCATTTAGCCTGCAACATGGTAAACCTATTCGGAATGCTGGAAACCACTTATAGTGTAGCTATATACATTGTTCATACAATATATTTCGTCAACATAACTGTGGTCAAGGGCCAATGGTGTCTCTTTGACTGCCATGTCCGTGATAAAATGTAGTATGAAATGATATTTTTCTGAGGTTCTCACTGGCATCTAGGTTCTTTTCAGACCCTATTCAAATATCTGTAGGCTGAGTTGGGTAAAGCAGGTCTCGTTAACACTCATCAGTATTCAGTAGTCCCATCATGTGCTGTTGTGCATAGAAACATGGTGTATTCAATGCTGGTTCGTTCTAACCGTTTCAGAAAATCTGCGCTGTCCGATGCGCTAGGCTAGCACATCCAGTTTCTCCGAAGGACGGACTCAACTTTAGGCTTGCATATATCTTTCCTTTCCATCGAGTTGGGTCGTCGGATGCCCCATTAGACGACTGGTATCATGTGTTCCCCAGCCAACTGCCCATTATCTTTTGAGCCACGCACGCACGTACGCACTGATGGCATATCCACCATCCTACTTTATGTCGGTACGCTCCTCGTCCCACACGTGGCATGTTAGCATGTCAATCTTGGGAGGGAAACGGAGTTAGCTCGAGTCCTACAGGATGCATTGAATCTGACATTGCTGGTACTATTGATGATTCCGGCTTTAGTTCGGGTAGATGCAGCGCAGCAGTGTGGAGCAAGCTAGGCTGGACTGGGCACACATTGGTCCATGCAAAGCTAGACCGGTGGAGTGGATCCATGCATGCACCTTAATTAACTGAACTCCCATCATATATCATGTAGGGAGCGTATGATTGGTGTATGGCCAACATTGTCTATTATCACGTTGATTTTTCAATCCTGCCCTGTAATGTTCTCCCTCAGTATAAGCTACTCTATTATTCAGCAGGCCCTGTAATGTTGTGCTAAGTTAATGTTTTACATCTACGGCGGCATTTGGCAGGGACGAGCGCAGAAGCGGTCTCCGGCGGGGACTGCGGCTACTGGCAGTGTGTCCTTTGCCCCGGCGGTGCAGACGTCGAGGAACACGGTGGACCTGCGGGGGAGGCGGGTCGGGGAGGCGTCTCAAGAGCTGGAGATGGCGATCGACGAGTGCAGGCCATACCAGGTCCTCTTCGTGGTCCACGGCATGGGCACCGGGGCGGTGAAGGAGTGCGCACTGGACGTCCTCCGGAGCCATCCCCGGGTGGTGAGGATCGAGGACGAGAGCCCCCTCAACTACGGGTGCACCGTCGCCTACATCGAGTGAATGAAGATACAAATCGGTGGCGGCACCTCTACCTACAGCAGGGACAGCTCTACATCACGGATCACACACAACAGAGTTCTTCTGTGTGTTGTAGAAAAAAAAATCACACACACAACAGAGTTGGAACTTTATATACAGAAGGAAAAGAAAATAATGCAACAGAGTTTCCCTGGCTCTGTTTACAATCCATTCACGCGGTGGAAATGGAATTGAGCCGGCCTGGTGACATTGGAAAAAGAGGTTAGAGCCATGGATTAATGGGCACTGTGCTGGTTGATTCTGGTGGATATACGATGGCGCCATTCAAGTTTGCCCTGCAGAATCAAAATCGAACTAGATGCAGATTGGTGGGTAGGTTCATGCATGCACATGCGCTTCTCTGGACCGATGCGATGCATGGGCGCACGCATTCTTTTTGTATGCCGAGGTCTCATCTTTCATCAGTTTGTTTACTATACCAGGGGCTATGTTTCACTCACAGCGCATGTGAGGGCTGCACAGGAACAAGGAGGTAAATTCACTCACTGAAGGTCAACGGCCCAGCGCGTAACTAGTTGATTCGTACTATGATGCTAAGCAAGAGACACTTGAAAATGATGCTCCAGGGCTGATGCTAACCATTTTTTTTTGAACTACAATACACATCCAATGTCAGATTTTTAGAGTTAAAAATCTGGCGCCCTCAGGCACGTCACATGACAAACTTGCTGACATTTGTTTTCTTATATTATACTAGTACTACTCCTTATGTAAAGAAATATAAGAGTGTTTAGATCACTATATTTGTTTACAGAGAGAGAGAGAGAGAGAGAGAGAGAGAGAGAGAGTAAACGGCAGTGTTCACTTTAGAACATGATAAATCTTTTTTTTTTGAAGGGGAACATGATAAATCTTAAGCAGCATCATAACAAATTTATTTGTTTTTGCGTGGCGATCTCTAGACAACACTTAGCGTTTTATAGGTTTTATTTATTTCGCAAATAATAATAGTTCTTGATTGGCCTGATATGGGAGTTGACCGTGCGCCCCACGCAGGCCAGGCGAGGTGAGGTTTGTTTAGGTAGCGCATCAAATCCGGGCCAAATTCCGGGAGCACGCACGTAGGCGCACACCTAGGGTTGCTAGGCCGGCGGGGCGGGTCGGGGTGGGGCTTTGCCTTTGAATTGATAGCCTCGTCCTCGCTCTGTCTGATAAGCGGGAGAGGGAGAGAAAAGATTCATAGTGACGCTGCACCGGACACGCACGTAGGCTGCATCCATCGGCACATGCAGCGACGCTGACCCGCCGGAGCCCACCCCCCGCCGGCCCCAGGTGGCAGCCGGAGCACGTCAGCGTCTACGTAGCTCACGGCGAGGGAGTCAGTCATGTGCCTGCCGCTGCCAGCCTCCCCCGCCCCCCCTCGTGCTCCTGTCAGAGCTCCCTGTACCTGTACTTGCAGAAGCAGCGAGGAAGGAAGGCAGCCCCACCCCGCCTCCGAATCTTCTTCCCGCATCATCTCATTTGTTTAACGCCCAATCAGCGGCTAATGATTCATTCCATTCCATCCATGCGAGCGAGGTCCATCTGTGAGATGCCAAGAAGATTAGTAGGAGTACCACTACGCCATGTGACAGTCCAGATCCCCTTTCAATCTGCTGGCATTTAGCTGCTTCCACTGCTCCTTCTTCTTCTTCTTCTTCTTCTTCCTCCCGTGCTCACTGTTGAGCCAACTGTTGCCGCCATTCTCCAGCCTCCGTCCATCCACTTCCTTCCTAGCCAGGCTCTGCGCCGGGCTCCCCCCAGAGGAGGCCGATCCGCTCCTGCTCCTGCTCTTGCTCTGCATTCTCTCCCCACTTTTGCTCTTCTTCTCCCGCCGTCCGCGGCGCCATTGGGGAGAAGCAAGCAGCAGCAGCCTAGATATACGCGCCGTGGCCGCCACGGCCGACACAGAGAGCGAGAGAGAAAGAACAAGGGGGGATAGGATATCCATTGCTGCTCCCCCTCCAAGATCTCCATCTCCTTTCGAGCTCCCCGCCGCCGACCGGCGACGTGGCGCGCCGCGTAGCCGTCGCGCCCCGGGTCCTCCCTGACTGGTGAGCAATGCGGCGGCGCGCGCTGGGCCTGGGAGAGGAATAGGAGGCGTCCGTCTGCCCATCTCTCCAGTGTTGGTCTTGGTTTCGCTCGCGCGGGACACAAGGAAGTGGGAGCAAGAAGAGAGTGAGGGCAAGGCAAGATGGCCGGGGGCGGCGAGGGCGCGGCGGGCGGGACGGGGGAGATGCGGTCGCTGGCGCTCACGCCCACCTGGTCCGTCGCCACCGTGCTCACCCTCCTCGTCGCCGCCTCGCTCATCGTCGAGCGCTCCATCCACCGCCTCAGCAACGTCAGTCTCTCTCTCTCTCTCTCTCTCTCTCTCTCTCTCTCTCTCTCTCTCTCTCTCTCTGCAATTTTTTCCTGTCCTTTTCTTCCCTTTTTCACCAAACACCAAACAGTTGGTCTCAAGTGCTCTTCTGAATACTAACAACTCAAACGGCTCATTTTTTCCTCTGTTACGGAATTTTGTCCTCTACTTTCTTCTAGAAAAGGGAACGAAATCCCTATTAGGAGTATCCACTATTACTTTTCCTAGTACTGTACTGTGTGTGTGCCACACCGAATTCCAACCATAAGCGAGCAGAAAGTTGCGCACTGAGTTCCAAACATAAAGCACCCGATTTTAATTTTTCTCATTATCACTTGATGGACTAATTCATGGCGTTCTTGTGCTTGTTCAGTGGTTGAAGAAGACTCACCGGAACCCACTCCACAAGGCAATGGAGAAGATGAAAGAAGGTACCTGCCCATCTGCTGTTCCTTTGTTTGTCCTCTGTTCTCATTCCTCTTCCCTGAATGCTCTGAAATGTTAGCTAATGCTTTGCTCTGTTTCGGTGCAGAAATGATGTTGCTCGGCTTCATATCCCTGCTTTTAGCGGCGACGTCGAGGATGATCTCCGGTATCTGCATCGACTCCAAGTACTACAACAGCAGGTTCTCCCCGTGCACCAAAGAGGAGGTGGAGGATTCATTGAGCACCGAGCACATGCTGACTCGCAAGCGCAACCACATAATCGATGCCATCCTGCATCGTTCTCTCAGGAGGAACCTTAAGGCGCAGTCCCATCAGGTGGAGAGTTGCCACGAGGTGTGTTTGCAAAGCTTCCTTGGAATGCCTAAACTTGTTTGGGAATCCTTTGGGTGATTGAGGAAGCTCATTTCGGTTGCAGGGCTTCGAGTCGTTTGTTTCACATGAGGGTCTGGAGCAGCTCCACCGCTTCATATTTGTCATGGCGGTAACCCATGTGACTTACAGTTGCTTGACGATGTTGCTAGCTATACTCAAGGTTTTTCCCCATTATCATGTGGATTAGCATTTTCACCTTCGTTTGTTATATTTAGAAGATGGGCATGAATGTGGGCTTGATGCCTATTCTTTGGATGTTGGCAGGTCCATACATGGAGAAAATGGGAGGATGAAGCATTTAGAGATAATCACGAATCTTTTTCCCGTAAGTGTACTTATCTTTACCCCCTTCATCTTTCAGAAGAAAGGACATGATACAATGTTGAAACACATCTGAATTCATGCCGCAAAGAAGATCTGTGAGCTTCTCAAATTTAGAATGCATAACTTAAGCAGAAGCAATTCAGAATGCATGACTTAACAGAAGCAATTGAGGACGATGAAATCAGTATAAGTTTCTTATATGGTCCCATCGAAATAGCAGATCCTGAGATAATATTTGTTACATGGTTTGGTTAGGAAGATTTTAAGCACTTCTTTTATGCTTGCTTTAGCAGTTCCTCTTGTCTGAATTTTGCAACCACGTTAATTCCTCTAAATATAATTTTGTGATCATATTTGTTTTCTTTTCCTAAACAAATGTTTTGAGAATCTAGGTAGGAGAAACCTTCTAATGCATCAAATACACCGTTGTTTTACTTCTGTAACTGTAGCAAGCAATATCCTCGTGTTATTGGTGCCACTGTATACTTAGCCATGTTGACATTAACCTCCATCTGACAGTTCCTCTTCTAATTTGTCTGTAACAGAGATTGCGTATGCATCAGCAACTAGAAGGCAACCACCAGCACTTACCAAATCCTCTTCATTCAGATTTTGGAGTCAAAATAATGCGGTCATGTGGGTGGTATGTTGAGGAAAATAATTCTTGTTGCTCATCTTAGGCATAAATTTCTCCTTTCATGTATAGAGCTACTGTTATTTCACTGTTATAGCCACCACTTAAGATTCTTGTTGTGTCATTATACAGTTTTGCTTCCTCGCACAATTTGGCCAATCTGTTGTTCGAGCCGACTACCTTATCCTTCGCAAGGGTTTCATAATGGTAAGATAGTTATCCTGGGCCATCTTGGATAGAAATGTTGTATCTATCGGGCAGATACTCTGTTTATTTGTTTTGTTGAACTTATACCTTATGAGAAAGGCATACTGAAGTTACACCGAACTTGATATTTATTAGTCACACACTCGTGCTCGACTTGTTAATAATTTCAGAACCACAATCTTGCACCAACATACGACTTCCACACTTATATGATACGCTCCATGGAAGAGGAGTTTGAGAAGATTGTTGGAGTGAGGTTAGCTTGTCTGCATGCTTGCCTGCTTATGAATGTTAACTGTGCTCTGTTTTATTTTATTCTTGCATTGGAGAAATCTTATCAGCTAACTCGATCCTTTGATGCAGTGGAGTGCTGTGGGGCTTCGTTGTTGCTTTCATGCTATTTAATGTTGATGGTAAACTTTGAACTACTTTTTCTTCCAGCGATATATTTCTGCTTCCTCGTTTATCTAACGTCAGACATGGTTTGATTTTGTCGCAGGATCTAACCTCTACTTTTGGATAGCCATCCTCCCTGTTGCTGTAAGTCGCAGCCTGCTTCTTGTATATTCAGTAATGTAGGTAGTTTCCCCTCAAATTTTGATGGTCTCAACTGGATTCAAATGCTCCATAGCTTGTTCTTCTAGTCGGTGCGAAACTGCAGCATATAATAGCGATTTTAACATCAGAGGGTGCAAAGCTGACTGCATTTGGACCAAGGATAAAGCCACGCGATGATCTCTTTTGGTTCAAGAAACCAAAGTTTCTCCTGTGGTTGATTCATTTTGTTCTCTTCCAGGTAATTATTACCTGCAATGCTTTTTAATGTGCTCAAATGACACTCCCTCTGGTTCGAAACAAATAAAGCACAAACCTAAACTTATGCATGCCGTGGTTTAAAAATTTCTGCAGAATGCATTCGAGCTGGCCTCTTTCTTCTGGTTCTGGGTACCACTTCTTATTTGGCTACTGTTAACCATATATATTTATGGGAAATTCTGCTAGAAGTGTCATGAGGAGTTAACATACCTGTATCCTTGTGCTGCAGTGGCAATTTGGTTATGAGTCATGCTTCATCAAAAACCACCTACTGGTTTACTGCCGCCTTGTATTGGGGTAATGAAGCAGTTTGGACAAGCTACTACTTAGTTTCTCGTTGTTCCCTTCATTTTATCATGTCCCTCATTATGATATAAGCTACAATCTATAATTTCAGGTTTGCCGGACAGTTCCTCTGCAGTTACAGTACGTTGCCCGTTTATGCGCTTGTCACGCAGGTAACAATTTGTTTATTCACATGCCACGCCACAAGAACATTTTAAACTAGTTGAATGAATCATCAAGATCCGATTATGCATCTGGGGATGCATATAGTTCCACGTTCACATCTGCTGTTTTTCAGCAAAAAATACGGCTAATACACTGTTTGTTGCCGATACGACAACATACAGATGGGATCAAAGTACAAAGCCGCCCTGATCCCCAACAGGATCAGAGAAACCATGCACGGGTGGGGCAAGGACACAAGGAAGAGGAGGAAGAAGCGGCGCGGCGACGATTCCACCATCCGCACAGAGACCAGCACCGTGTGCTCCCTCGACTACGAGGACGAAGACGACGACGGCCATGGCCATTCCGATTATGCCACGACACCCAGGTTGCCGCCATACCTCAAGATCGAGCTGCGTCCCATGCAGGGCGGCGGTGCCACTCCGGGACAGGGCATGCCAAGCCACCATCTTCCGACGGGCGGCAGCAACTGGACCCCCGGCGGCAGCTCTCAGCACGCGCTGCTCCAGCGACAGGGCTCGGCCTCAGCCTCCGCGCCGTCGTCACCGCCACCGAGCAGCCATGACCGTGGCGTCGTAAGGTCAGCGTCGATGCCGGGGATTGCTTCCGTGGCAACGATAGCCTCGACGATCGGCCTTAGTACCCCACCGCCTCGGCTCAACGATGACGCCCATGCATAGGACACTGGACTTATTTTGTGTTACTATAGGATGATGATGACGATGATGACTGATGAGAGAAAATGCTAGGATCATATCATAGATGAGAGAAAGATATAGTACTTCATTTTGTGGTCATATAAGAAAAGATGGTGTATAGTTTTACATACATGATCAATTATACTAGTGCGTGTCATCAGAACTTAGTAGAGACGGTTTGGTTTAAAGGAATTTCAAAGGACTTCATAGAGGAAAGTTAATCCCAGCGTCAGCATTGATCTTCACAATATCTGCCCCTGATGAAATCCATTTAGTATTTACTTGGTTTCTTCTTTCTCCTGGAAGCTTCATGATGAAGGCCAAGGGTGGATAGTAGGCTACCAAGATTTTTGTGAAAGCTTTATGCAGCACCCTAATCTGCTTACCCCTGCTGCCCTGATATTTTATTTACAAAAATACCTCTTTTGAGCGATCGAACATCTTCTAGAAATTATTATATTGTTCCTTAGTTCAGCATTTCTCTCTAAACAACAAATATTTTCACCATTAGGTGAATATTTTTTATGCAGATAAAAAAATCATAATGTTCTATACCGGACGCAAGTGTAACTAAAAT